AAGGGGTGCCTGAGTAGCTCAGTTGCTTAAGTATCTCCCTTGCCGTTTGCTCAGGTCATGATCCTGGGTTCCTAGGATTGAGCCTGGTATTGGGCTCCCTGCTCAGCCAATGCAGAGATCAATCCCAGGACTCTATGATCATGATCTGAGCCAAAAGCAGATGATAAACTGAGCCACCGAGGTGCACCATAAAAACACACTGTCTTAAGCAGCAGTTGCAAAAACAATGAATTGATTCTGCCACTCAGTCTTATAAAATTCAGCGAGTTATCCAGAGTTGCACTAATAGAAATCCCTACTAAAACATAGCTTCTTTTTTCTTTCCTTTTTCACTTATTTGAAAATCAGAATAAGCTACACATATACAATATGCAACATCTAAGTCTTAGCAAAACTTATGATGATCAATTATTGTTAAAGGTAAATGATATGAATTATGTACTATATATGTACTGGATATGAATTATATACTACATAATTTGTGAATAAATAAATATGGACTGGTGTGAGAAAGGAAAAAATGCTGGAGCACAAAAAGTCATCAAATGTATCTATAGTGGATGTATAATGTGGACCTCACAATAGCTTATGATTATAGTCTAACTCACTTTTTTATAATGAAAGGACAGGGATATAGCCAAATTTTCTCTTTCAGATATAAACAAGCTAATGAGGATTTTGTAGTTGCCTCCATAAAGAATGCATCAATATTATATTGATCTGCAGTCTGTTTCATTTGAATATATACCTTCAATACCATTGACCTTTATTTCCAGAAGGAATAAAAAAAAAAAATTACGCGGTTTTGGTGAGTACAATCTTGAGGGCAGACCTCTTACAAATCTTTAAGTAAATGCAGTTGATAATTCTACACCTTAAGCGTGACTTCAATTAACATAGAAACAAAAACCATAAGCAAAATAGCAGTAGACAATAAATATTTATTGAATGAATAAATAGATGAATGACTTTATTCATTATGTATTCCTATGATATTTCTGCTCACATAGCTACATTTTTATTGTAATTTGGCTTCCTATATTGATCTGTCTTTAGGGAAAGAATGACTCCCGCAGTCATTCTGGTATTATGATTATATTCCTCATAGGAACTAAGGAGTGGCATTCTGGTTTTATTTAAAGATACCTCTAGACTGTGAATGCTTCACTGTAGGGTCTAGCTAGTGCCTGGAACTTAGCAAACATCTAATATGTGTTCAACGAATGTTCCCTGTTTTAGTCTAGGTTATCATTCCTTTCAATCTATGCACCCAAAAAAAAGACACTCTGCCATGGTCTGAATGTTTGTGTACCCTCCAGAATTCATATATTGAAATCCTCATCCCCAAGGTGATGGGATTAGGAGGTGGGCCTTAAAAAGAGGCCTCACAGAACTCCCTAGCCCCTTCTGACATATGAAGACCCAAAGAAAAAAAATGACTATGAGCCAGAAAGATGTCACCAAACACCAAATCTGCCAGCACCATGATCTTGTACTTCCCAGACTCTAGAACTGTGAGAAGTAAATGTTTGTTGTTTATAAGCTATCCAGGTTACGGTATTTTGTTATAGTAGCATGAACAGACTAAGATATTCTCATTTTAAGAAACTGGAGGGGATCCCTGGGTGGCTCAGTGATTTTGTGCCTGCCTTTGGCCCAGGGTGCGATCCTGGAGTCCCGAGATCGAGTCCCACGTCGGGCTCCCTGCATGGAGCCTGCTTCTCCCTCTGCCTGTGTCTCTGCCTCTCTCTCTCTCTCTCTCTCTCTCTCTATGTCTATCATAAATAAAAATAAATCTTAAAAAAAAAAAGAAACTGGATAGTGATCCTAAAAATAAAAAGTCCAATAAAAATTTAAATGTCGTGGATGGTTTATCAAACAGGAGATAGAACAAACAGAGATATGGCTAGATGACCACCCTCCTTCTCCATTCTAAATCTTCCATCAATATACTTTGGAAAAAGCCATTTCAAGTATGGGTGTGGGATTTTGGTTCAGAATAAATTGCATGGCATAAGGCTACCCCTAATATTTTTATACGTGAAAATGGATTAAAATGAACAACAGGGAGACCTTAAAAAGAGAAGGAAAAAAAAAAAAGAGAGAGAAGGAAAGGGAGAGGTGGCATAAGATTGCACCGTGTAACTTTTGAGCAATGGGGAGGAAAAGATGGTCATGTTTAATAAGGCAAGGAGGATGGCAGGATATGCAGATGAAGTGCTTCAGTTTTTAATAGTACAAACCACCTGGCTTTGTCTCTTTTTCTTTCTCACACCAACCAGAACTTCCTCAGGCTTGGTTGGACGTCCACCTGGTTATTACAGCAGCCCAAATCCACAAATACCAGAAGTCTGAATCAATCATACTTATTTGGCTTAAGGGGAGGAGGCTTGGTCTTGCATACAAGACCGATTAAAATATAATGCTTTACATACAACCATTAATGTTCAGATACTGCTGTGTCAGTTGCATACAATAATGAGGTAGAGTGAGGAGGAGCTACCCGATACCTATGACAAGTTGGGACTGAAATAGAGGAAACCTTCCCCCTCTTATCAGGATATTATGACCTAAAAAGATGCTCTAAAAAGCAAAAGTAGGAGAGCAGTAGCAGGAAAAATCAGATAAAGGATGATTTTTTTTTTAAAGCAGAGAAGAAAGTTGGGAAGAGCAGCTTCATGGCCTTTGTCTTGACATGGTTCAGGAAGAACAAGGAAATAAACACATAACAGTCGCATGAAGTTAGACATTATATTTTCAGGTATCTTTTACTCACTGGCAGCCAGGGGCCAGCTACATGGGTCTGTCCTAGTTCCAGCTCACTTCCAAGAGGTAGAGGCAATCTCAACTCCCATAGGTACTGAATGACATCTCCCCTTACCAAGATCTAAACCAAAATAGTGAAATCAGAAGAGAATGTGGGATTCTCTTCTCCTGTCAACTAGATTGTGTGTGTGTGTGTGTGTGTGTGTGTGTGTGTGTGTTTCCCATCGTCTTTGGGGGTCAAGAGCTTCTTCAAGAAAGATCATGCTACCTAAATGAATGTGGCCTTATCCAATCGACCACAACAAGATAACCCTTTTAGTAAAACCTAATAGGCACAACATTTAAACGATAGAAACATTCATTTCATACAGGGTAGAGAGTAATCTTTTTTTTTTTTAAAGGATAATATTCATTAATGAGAATGGTACTTTCCTAACAGGTTAACATTTGGCTAAAATAATCAGATCAGATGCTATACAGGTAGGCTATGTCAAGAAACCCGAAGAAATAGAGATATTTTAAATGTTATATCACTTATTTTGAATCCTCTTTATAGTATTTATTGCACTCTACTATAATGTATTTGTGTACTTGTATGTATCCCTCATTAGATCATAAGGTTCCTTCCTTAAGGAAGGAACTAAGTCTCTCCCATTCCCTTTTGTATTGACACCTAGCACAGAGGTGCCTGGCACATATATCAAAGCGCTACAGAATAAATGCTTTCATAGGTAGTAAATAGAGCAAAGTTCATAACCAAAGTTCATATTCTGCATGGTGTCATAGAAAGACTGGAGAAGAAATTTAAAAGCAAGTATTCAGAAAGCAGTATTAATAAAGATGAGGGCTCTGAGATGTGCTGTGTCCAATTTGGCATGTTGTTCACTACATAAAATCATCACTTGGGCAAGGGCACAAATTGGAGCAAAAATCCAGCCCATGCTCTGCTTTCTAACAGTTCAACACTGTTTCATATCTTGCATTGCACACAGGAAGCAATGCCCTTTCTTTCAAATTCATATAGCACAAGCTAGAGACAGCCATGCTTTAAATTATGACTTAATCTCTAACTGGTTAGTTCACCTGGCAAGAAATACTGCCCCACTGATCTGATTCCTCCACAAAGGGAGGAAAAGAAACAGTGTAGACTATCTGATCATGAATTGAGAACACTGAGGTTGGAGATTGTTTTTCCCTGGATTCTCAACATAGGGTGTTGTGCTTATAAAACTTTCTTGTGTGTGTGATATAAAAGAGCTACACAGTGGAGGCTCAGCATTCAATCTGATCCCAGACAATGAGCTACAGACTCAGAGATGCATAAAGAACAGGAAGAACCGGGGAAGGTCATAGAATTCCATTGCTGCAAGACATTTGAGAGATCATCTGGTCAAATAACAACTTCATTTTACAGATGAGGAAACCAAAAAGATCAAGGAGATGAAGTGACTCGCCTGTGGTTAGTAAAACTAAGCCTAGGACCTAGTGTTTTTCGGCCTTCAGTGTAATAATGTATCACAACTGGCTGCGCTTGCCACGATTATAATCAACATTGATTGTGCACCCACTGTGTGAGACAGGTTGAGACATAAGGACTCGGTCTCCATCAAGGGCCTTACAATGAGGCTGGGAAAACAGGATATATGTATCAAAAGATAAACAATAATAGCAGGTGGCCTATGAAGAAAGGTTTAGACTTCGGTTTCTGCGAGGGAATGGTAATGTCACTATTAGGGATCGCAGGCATGCGGTGCAATGCCTTTGTGTGACAGGCCGACAGTTCTGGAGGGACCAGAGCTAAGTGACTGAGAAAGTCCAGATGAGGACCTAAGGTCAACAAAAGCAAGGTCAGGAGAACCCAACTTCCAGGGGGTCCCTCTCATGCAGCTTCAGCCCCCGGGCTCATGAGCCAGAACACAAGAATGGGTGGGATAGAGCCTCTCCTCGCCTGGGCTCTGACCCCTAGGGCTGAGGCAGGTGTGCAGGGAGAGCAGAGCGGAGGCGGAAAACGACTGAGAACTCGGAAGGGTGCCAGCGCCCTGAGCTGACCCACCACTGGGGGCCGAGCAGAGAAAGGAGCGTCTCGCGGGAGGCCCGGCGGGGCAGGGGCTTCCGGGGCGGCGCGCGCGGCCGGCGGGGGCGGGGCCAGGGCCAGGCCCCGCCCCCGCCGGGCTGCGCGACAATGGGGCGGGCGGCGGAACGCGGCTGCGGCTGCGGCTGCCGCGGGCCTCGGGTGGGCGGAGCCACCGCCTCTGCCGCCTCTGCCGCGGCTGCCGCCGCAGCCCCGGTTGGGATTTGAAAGATTAAAAACTACCGGTGGCGTTGAATGTGTGGCGGAAGCGCTGGGGGCCGCGGCTCGGCGCGGGGCCGGGCAGCCGGCGGCGTCTCCACACCATGAATTACCCGGGCCGCGGCTCCCCGCGGAGCCCGGAGCATAACGGCCGGGGCGGCGGCAGCGCAGCCTGGGAGCTGGGCTCGGATGCGGAGCCGGCGTGCGGCGGCGGCGGCGGCGGCGGCGGCGGGGGCGGCGTCTGCTGCTTCGACCACCTGCCCGGCGGGGCCCCGGGCGACGGCGAGGTGCCCCTGGCCCTGCTGCGCGGGGACCCCGGGCTGCACCTGGCGCCGGGCGCGGAGGACCGCGACCACCACCTGGCGCTGGACTCCTGCCTCAGTGACGAGAACTATGACTTCAGCTCCGCGGAGTCGGGCTCCTCGCTGCGCTACTACAGCGAGGGCGAGAGCGGCGGCGGCGGCAGCTCCTCGTCGCTGCACCCGCCGCCGCAGCCGCCCCTAGTCCCGTCGGGCGCGGGGAGCGGCGGGGCGGCGGGAGGGGGGCTTGGGGAGAGGAAGCGCACCCGCCCCGGCGGGGTGGCCGCCAGGCACCGCTACGAGGTGGTGACGGAGCTGGGCCCCGAGGAGGTCCGCTGGTTCTACAAGGAAGACAAGAAGACCTGGAAGCCCTTCATCGGCTACGACTCGCTCCGCATCGAGCTCGCCTTCCGGACGCTGCTGAAGGTCACCGGTGGCCGGCCCCGGGCCGAGGCCCCGGACGGCGACCGAGTGTGCGGCCCGGCCTCCAGCTCGGGGGAGGACGACGACGACGACGACGACGGGGACGGGGACCGCGTCTGCGGCTTCTGCCCGCGCGCCGCGGGGCACGAGCCCGAGATGGAGGAGCTGGTGAACATCGAGCGGGTGTGTGTGCGGGGCGGCCTCTACGAGGTGGATGTGACCCAAGGAGAGTGCTACCCGGTGTACTGGAACCGTGAGTAGCCGGCCGGGGGATGGAGCGGGACGGGCTGCTGCGGGCCGACGAGCGCCCGGGTGGGCTCGGGACGTGACCGCCGCGGAGAGGCAGGCGCGCGAGGCCTGGCGTTCGGTAGGAGCAGGGTGGAGAGGAGACCCGCCGAGCCGGCAGGTGAAGGGTTAAAGAGCAGGTGGCCGAAGGCAAGCTGCCCGGGGTTCCGAAGGAGAAGACTGTGCGAGGGGAGCGCTGCCCTGGGGTGAGCTGGGTGCTGCTGCCATCCCCTGGAGGTGATCCAGGAGCGGTGATGCCCAGCCCGAAGGTTTAATTTCGCCATCCCACCTGAGCTTTGTCCGCCCGGGGATCTGATTCGGTCTCGTTTACCCTGATCTCTGCCTATGATTTAAAGAGCAGCCCGCCCTGTGGAGTGGGAGCGTTTTGAGATGATCTGCTCGAGCATCAACAGTTCAGCCATGAACTCGGGAAAGGAAAGGAGACCGGTTGCTTCCACCGGGTGCACTCGGGAGACGTGGGGTCACTGCTGCTGGCGAATGGGTCCGCTCACTGTCTGTGGATTACTCGTTTTTGTCTCTTCTTACGTTCTCGTTTACGTATTCTCAGTTTGCTTCTTAGCCTTGAAAACTTACAAGGCCTGTGCCTCGTTTCCTCATCTATAAAATAGGGATAATTGTATCTACTTGCGGGGTTGTCGGGGAGATTTTTTTTTTTTTAATTTATGATAGTCACACAGAGAGAGAGAGAGAGAGAGGCAGAGACACAGGCAGAGGGAGAAGCAGGCTCCATGCACCGGGAGCCCGACGTGGGATTCGATCCCGGGTCTCCAGGATCGCGCCCCGGGCCAAAGGCAGGCGCCAAACCGCTGCGCCACCCAGGGATCCCTGTCTGGGAGATTAAATGAAATAATGTACCTAACCTGCTTGCAACTGTTTTTTGGCACACGTGTGATTTATCTATGTTAACAGTGGGTTCTTATTAGATAGCAGCACAATTAAGTTTGTAATTAGATTAAAAGTAAATGTTACATATGTGATATATACTATTCTACTGTAACAGAAACTATTGGCTACCAGTAATTTGTAATATATAGTTTTAGTTCTTATGGGCCTAGTGCCCTAAGTCTGTCTTCTTTGGTTGTCACTGGCCTTCGGATACATTTTACAATATTCGGTCTTGTATTAATATATATTCATGACTTAGCTTCCTTTCTATATGTTTGGCAATCTATGGACAGAGTCCACCTTTATCTTCATACTCTCATTGGGCCTAGTGCAGTAGATATTTAATAAATAGGTATTGAATTGCATGAGTGATTCTGATAATGTTAAAACCTATGTTAAGCATGAGTCACTAAGATAGCAATTACAGTGTGTATCAAATCACCAAATAAGCATAGCAGAAAATTTAATTTCTTATTACACTTAAGGATGACATTGAAGGCATTCATTAACATTTACACAAGACCAGATTCATATGGGATTTGTCACATAACTCCTTTTGATTAAAAGCTCACAAAGGATAGGGTATACTTATATTCATTCATTCATTCATTCATTCATTCATTCAGCTCTTTCACATTTTTGCCACGGGTTTGTATGTGCCTAATATAGTAGTCTCATGAAGGCATCAGGAAAGGTGGAAAGACAGTCATTATCCTTCAGGAGCTTCCCACTTAGTCTCTTCTTCAAATGTCCTAGACATCACTATAGATTTTTTTTTCCTTTGAATATAAGGCAAGGAATATAGAAAAACAAGGACTTAGTAGAGCGAGAAAGTTAGATAAAATGCAGGGCATCCTTGGAGAAGAGTCTGGAGATCAAAGGATGAATCCTATCTTTAAATCAACTAAAGTATATTCACCTAGAATATTGTGTACTCTTTCAGTTTATGGTAAGATTGTTAATGCATATTGCTTTACTGTTTATAAAGTGATTTTTCACATTATTTCATAGTGATACCAAATTAATGGTAACCTTCTGTTTTATGAAGAAACAGCCTCAGTAAAATTAATGAGCTTGTCCAAGGTTACTTAGCTAGAAAGTGGTGAAACATTTTAGAAGCTAGTCAGGGAATGTGTGTGGTATCCAGAGAGCATCTGACCCACTACCCGAGGGTGAGGGTATCAGGAAAGCTTCCCAGATAATGTAAGACTGAACCCTAAAGGATGAAATAAATCAAGCAAAAAAAAAACAAAGGGGGGGGGGGCGATGCTGGGAAAGGCCTCTAGCCAGATGGGGTAACATATACAAAGACACAGAGGCATGAAACTGCATGGCATTTTGAGGAAATTAAGGTTGCACCTGTAGGGGCCAAGACACATACAGCAGGCTTGGGATCTGACCACCACAGAGACAGAGGTTTCTGGTCAAGGACAGGAGGAGATTGTGAAGGGTACCTGCCCTTAAATGGTGCATTTGGGAGAGTAGTTAGAAAAGGAACAAGAGTAGATCTGCAGTGCTAAGGACTTTGGACTATATCCTGTGAGTTATAGAAACCAAGCAATTGAAGGTTCTCTTTTGCTTAGGTGATTAATGACAATACAAAGGTTGCATTGGAGAATTGGGGTATATCATGAGAATAGTAGCATCATAAATCAAGAGAAAAACCGGGAGAGCCTACAGATGTTAACCTGAAAGGAAATGTGGACTTAGCCTTCTCAAATCTTTTTAAAAGCAGATAGCTTATAAACCAATTATAACTTATAAATTAGTTTTTGTTAATTAGCATGACAGCAACACCTATTTTCACTCCATTTTAGCATTTTCTAAATAGTTTTCTACAATATACAATCCTGTGGGTGTCCCAGGCCTTCATATGAAGTACAGTGAAAACACAATGGTGCTTTTTTTGTCCCTAACTTGCCACTTCTCACAAAATCCCATATCACTCTGCTCTAATTGCTTCTTCAAGTCTTTCCATGTTATAAATTTTCACACCTTCTCAAAAGGGTTCAGTCTCACTATGGTCTCTTAAGCTTTTGCAGCTTTTGACTTCCTTCTCATTTTACCTTTTTTTTTTTTTTTTTTTTTTAACTCTTCTGGAAACATTCTGAATAGTGGCAATGAAAGTTAAAAAAAAAAATTCAAAAAGTTCCTATGACATGGTGGTTGAGGCTTTTGGGACCTAATTGACCCTCTGCACCTGGGTGTCAAGGCCAATAAGTTAGCTGTGCCTAGTCTAAAGGAAAGATGTAATATATATTTGCTCTTCCTTTTGAACTCTTACTAGCAGATAAAATTAGAAGCAGTTTGGGGTACATGAGTCAGAAGGGGAATAGAATTTGTCTTCTATAGACAGGAAGCTCATATTGTATATGTAAAAAGTATTAATTATAGGAAATTTATCTTCATTTTATTGTCTGTTTAGATTTTTTTTTTTTTAAGATTTTATTTATTTATTCATGAGAGACAGAGAGAGGCAGAATAGAGGGAGAAGGAGGCTCCATGCAGGGAGCCCAATCAGGATTCATACCCTGAGCCAAAGGCAAACGCTCAACTACTGAGCCACCCAGGCGTCCCTGCTTAGATATTTTTCTTATTGCATGTAAACATTTTAGATAAAAATTGATTCTTGCTGAGTAATGGCTAAGGCTTGCTCCCCCTCTTCTTCCTAAGATACTTGTAGAAACCAAACAGTTGAAGATTCTCTTTTGCTTGAGTGACCATACAAAGGTTGCATTGGAGAATTGCTTGTATACATCTCATAGGCTTGTTTTGAGAATTATTATATATAAACATGCCTGGAACAGTGGTTGGCACAAAGTACAAGGTGTTAACTGTATCTATGTAGATCTCAGAAAACAATAATCCTTAATTGTAGAAACTCATATGAAAGTTAAGGCTGGCCAGTGCAGAACTGTGAAGTACCCAGGGTTTGTTGTCATCATCACCATAGATGAAAGAATGTTTCTAAAGAATATTAGCAAGCATTTAATAATAGTGGTAGAAAGGCATATGGAACATTACACAGATACTTGACGAATCGTCTCATAGCAATTCTTATGGCAGTGATGTGTGCGTTATACACTAGGGAGTATATAATTTTCATTTATTGACTAAAGTTATTTGACCAAATATTTATATGAATGTGCAATTTCTTCCCCTTCTCCATTTTCCCATATACTTGCGGTCTACTTCCATTATTATTCTAAATCATTTTCAAACACTTTATAAATTAACCAGTCTTCATGATATATTGAAGAAAAAATAATATTCCCACCAAAATGAGGTAGGAAAATAAGGGCTTTTTCTGCAAGTACCCAAATTATATGTTGTTTATTATTATTAGTTTTAAAGATTTTATTTATTCATGAGAGACAGAAAAAGGGAGAAGCAGGCGCCCCATGGAGCTCGGAGCCTGATGTGGGGATCGATCCCAGGACCCTGGGCTCACGACCAGAGCTGAAGGCAGATGCTTAACAGAGGCACCCAGGCTCCTCTAACTGGTGTTTTTTTAACTTGGCATAACCATAACCATCTCTTTGGCCTTTTTCATTTAAGGGTTAATAACCTTAATAATTAAGAATCCTTTATGCGACATCATGGGAATCATGGGAAAGTAATGGAGTCCAAGCTGGGAGAAGTCACTCTTTCTTGATCAGTTGCTGCCTCCAGTAAAGCAGAACTATAGGGAACGGAGACCAGAGATTGACATGCCTGATTCTGAAAAAGTGTTAAGTCTTTTCTGTCTCTTCTTAACTGCATTGTCTCCCTCTAGCCCGGACTGGAAAGCATCCTTGGGCTGCATTGGGACCCTGGCTGCTCAGGTTTGCAGAATCCTGGTTGAAGTCTTGGGAGAACGCTGTTTAAATCAAGCCTACTTTAGATTGCATTTTTCAGTGACCTACTGAAAGAGCACAAAGATATGAATGACAGTGATGTGTGTGCAGGGCAGGACTTGGCACAGTCTGATCAAGGCATTCAGGACTTTTCTTCTCCTTTACGTGAGACCATTACTTTAAACCTGATTTCATATCAGTTATTGATCCACCTTGCTTGTATATA